TTTTTTTAAGATTACTGACTTCTTTCTAACCAAGCAACTGTTACTGTTCCAATTTTTTACAAGAGGATAGAAAAAGAGAAAATTTGGACAAGGTCCCTCAGCTGGTATCTTTTAATTAAGTAATAGCCAAATAATTTTAATGCTATATATCCCCAGAAGTTAAAAAAAAGAGAAAAATAAAGCTTTTGGCATGTGGTCACCCCTCCTTTTTTTAAGTCACAAAAGAGCAAGTGAAAGACCATCTAAACCAAAGCCATTCAAAAAACACTTCCTGCTATGATGGAAATGTTCTGTATCTGTACTTCCAAATATAGTAGCTACTAGTGTCATATGGCTTTCAAAAGTTAATTTAAATTACATTAAAATTTTAGTTCTTCAGCCTCACTAGCCACTTTTCAAATCCTCAGTAGTCACATGTGATAATTAAAACTCAAACCCTACTAAGAGTTCCATGTACATACCTCATTTAGAATGCTATTGATAATAGTGTAGATAAACCCAATGGCAGCCACCGCCACAAGACACAGAAGAAACAAGTAGGCATCTCTGTAGAGTTTAAAATCTGTTGGTTTGGGATACAATATGGAACGAACAAGCTGTCCTTTGGAAGTACTAAATCCTTTTAAAAAATTTCAAGAAGAAAATTACTTATATTTTTATTAAAAAATGAGAATTATCTCTCAGAAGAGAGTATTTATTTATTTATTCATTCATTTATTCATTTATGTATTACTAGAGGCCCAGTGCATGGATTCGTGCACCAGTGGGGTCCCTTGGCCTGGCCTGCGCCCTCTCACAGTCCAGGACCCTTTGGGGGATGTCGGACGGCCGGTTTCGGCCTGATACCCTGCAGTATGCATGTAAGATCTTTGGTTAATTTCTTCCCATCCTCCCCTCACCTCCCTTCCCTCTGAGATTCATCAGTCTGTTCCATGTTTCCATGCCTGTGCATTGAGCATCTGCCCCCTGGTGGTCAGTGCATGTCATAGCTACTAGTTGAACAGTCACTTAGGCTTTTTTATATATAGATAGATATATTGGCTTCAGGTGTATAGCTTAGTGGTTAGACAATCATATAATTTACATAGTGTTCTCCTCGATATTTCCAGTACCCCAAGTGGCATCATACATAGTTATCACAATATTCAAAACAGAATAAATATAGTAGCTACTAGTGTCATATGGCTTTCAAAAGTTAAACGTTCAGTAGGTGTCAAATATGCAAGAAGAGATATGTTCTTACCTGTTCTAACTACGATGGCCTTGACAAGCTCTCCAGTGTAGAAACGAGTTTGAATAACAGTAGTCCCACAAAACAAAGTGTGTCGTTTATGTATTTCTGGACTATATAATTCATCTCCCATTCCTTTTATGTCCACTGAAGGATTTGGCAAATTCGTCTTTGTCACTGGAACACTTTCTCCTTAAAAACAAAAATCATAAGTTAAAGCATAGAAATCAGTGGCAAACACATACAACTTGAAGTGTTAAATAACCTAAATGTTATCATACTGTTTACAATTGCTACTAAAGTAGAGTTCTCATAATGGATAACATAACTTACTAAATTAGTTTTTTGGCTACCCATTTCCTTAAGCCAATATATCAAATCTTGTCTCCCACAATAATTCCTGAAGTGATCTGATTCAAAGATAATGATTTTTAAATGACTGTGTCAAGTTTCAAATAAGGAAAACAGGTAAGAGTTGCCTTAGCCCCAGCAGCTGTTGTCTTATCCCTAAGAACTGAACTGGAAAGCGCTCTGCAGCCTCCAGCACACAGAGATGTGAAGACCTATTCCTAACCCCCAGACGCACACACGCACGCACGCATCTGGAGAAGGGAGATAATACTACGGTAGTATGGTAGTTCTCTCAAACAATTAACAAACAAATTCTTTTTAACACTGAAATTTAATTCTGTGTAGCATCACAATTCTCGCTTCAAGCCAACAAGCGTGTGGGGATATTTATGTGTGAGTGTGCTTTAAGAAAAGATTCTTAAGTTTGAAAACATTATATAGGAATCACTTTCTCGCCAGACTGACTATGACAGTAAAAAAATTCATATGATAAAAAAGATATAGAACTCTATCTTCAGATTGTGGATTTCAAAAAAAAAATCATTTTGAAGTCTACTTCTCCCCACTTTAAGAAAAATACAGTGTTTAGTCCCACTGTTTACACACCAAATAAGGAAGCAAATATACTGCATTCTCTGTAGGCAAGGGCTTCTTTTTTCTTCCCTTACTATAAAGCATTTCCTCATATGAAAAAGAGTAAACAGGAGCATGCCAAGAAATGCAGTGATGACGAGCATGGTGACTTAGTATCACAGCTGAGTATAATACAGAATTTGGTTCCCTCAGAATAAAAATAAAAATAAAAAAATCACTTCAATATCCATGACATTCATAACATTCATAAAGAAAAGATAAACAGCACAGCTAATTTTGAAATAGATTCATCAGCAACCACTTAATCTACTCTCATAAACAACTCATCTGATTTTTCCTCATTTCATTTAGTTTACCTGTTAACATGCTTTCATTTACAATGCAAGTACCATTAATAAGTACTGCATCACAAGGCATGATAGTCCCATTTAATGGAATGACCATAACATCTCCCGGCACAAGTTCTGTAGAAAAGATCTCTTCTTTTTCTGGATTTAAAGAAAGAAAAAAGAAAAAAGTGGGAAAAAAATATTTTTTAACTTAGAATAAACATAAGCAAACAAAAGGTCATCTGATCTCAATGAGATGTCAAATATAATGGAGTTAACAGAAAAATTCCAATAAACAAAATGTTTCAACAAATAAAATGATTATTTCTTAGGCCAGTGGTCGGCAAACTGCGGCTCTCGAGCCACATGCGGCTCTTTGGCCCCTTGAGTGTGGCTTTTCCACAAAATACCAACTTCTGCGCATGGGCCACGAAGTTTCAATCGCACTGTACGTACACGCCCGCACGTGGTATTTTGGGGAAGAGCCACACTCAAGGGGCCAAAGAGCCGCATGTGGCTCGAGAGCCGCAGTTTGCCAACCACGGCCTTAGGCTAACACAGCATGGTGTTTAATGGCGGCTAGTTTGTCCCGACAGGAAACTAACTGTGCACAGGTAATGCCAAGTCCTCTCTGACCAAACAAGGTGGGTGGGCTCCAACATTCATTACAACACTTAAGGATCAATTTTAGCTAATAGCCCATTCAGAAAATAGTAAGTCCTACTGAGATCCCCTGCAATGGGTAAACATACTCGGATTTCCATAATCCCTTGAAAACAGAAGCATTGAAAATTTTAGCTACTCTTTTTTTTTTGGGTTGCCTCTTTTATTATTAAATCTTTATTGTTCATATTATTACAGTTGTTCCTCTTTTTCCCCCCCATAGCTCCCCTCCACCCGGTTCCCACCCCACCCTCTGCCCTTACCCCCACCCCCACCCTCATCCATAGGACATTGTGTGTACGATTTTTGTCCAGTCTCTTTCCGCACCCCCACACCCTTTTACCCCTAAGAATTGTCAGTCCACTCCCTTTCTATGCCCCTGATTCTATTATATTCACCAGTTTATTCTGTTCATCAGATTTTTTATTCACTTGATTTTTAGATTCACTTATTGATAGATATGTATTTGTTGTTCATAATTTTTATCGTTACCTTTTTCTTCTTCTTCCTCTTCTTAAAGAATACCTTTTAGCATTTCATATAATACTGGTTTCGTGGTGATGAACTCCTTTAGCTGTTTCTTATCTGTGAAGCTCTTTATCTGACCCTCAATTCTGAACGATAGCTTTGCTGGGTAAAGTAATCTTGGTTGTAGGTTCTTGCTATTCATCACTTTGAATATTTCTTGCCACTCCCTTCTGGCCTGCATAGTTTCTGTTGAGAAACCAGCTGACAGTCGCATGGGTATTCCCTTGTAGGTGACTGACTGTTTTTCTCTTGCTGCTTTTAAGATTCTCTCTTTTTCTTTTGCCCTTGGCATTTTAATTATGATGTGTCTTGGTGTGGTCCTCTTTGGATTCCTTTTGTTTGGGGTTGTCTGCGCTTCCTGTACTTGTAAGTCTGTTTCTTTCACCAGGTAGGGGAAGTTTTCTGTCATTATTTCTTCAAATAGGTTTTCAATATCTTGCTCTCTCTCTTCTTCTGGCACCCCCATAATTCAGATGTTGTCCCAGAGGCTCCTTACACTATCTTCATATATTGGATTCTTTTTTCTTTTCCGGTTGGGTGTTTTTTACTTCTTTGTATTTCAAATCTTTGACTTGATTCTTATGATCCTCTAGTCTATTGTTGGATCTCTGTATAATATTCTTTTTTTCAGTCAGTGTATACTTAATTTCTAGTTGGTCCTTTTTCATATCCTCAAAGGTCTCACTAGATTTATTGAGGGTCTCACTAAATTTATCGGCGGTTTCTAGAAAATTCTTGAAAAACCTTATAACCGTGGTTTTGAACTCTATATCCAGTAGTTGGCTTTGCTCCATTTCTGTCATTGGTGACCTGTTTCTTTGTCTCCGCATTTTGGCTGCTTCCCTGTGTTGATAGAGTGGCTTTGTGTGCTAGGTGTCCTATAGGGCCCAGTGGCTCAGCCTCCCCAATTACCTGAGGTGGACACTCTTGGTGCACCCCTTTGTGGGCTGTGTGCACAGTCTTGTTGTAGTTAAGCCTTAATTGTTGTTGGTTTCACTGGGAGGAATTGACCTCCAGGCCAACTGGCTGTGAGAATCAGCTGTGTCTACAATGGGAGAACTTCTGTGCTGGAGACACCCTTATGGGGCAAGACTTGCTTCAGTGGGTCTTTGGTGCTCACTGAGTCTGCCCCCTGAGTGTGTCCCTTATGGACCTGAGGAGTTGTAATCGGGATGGTCCCACTCTGACCACTGGGTACACTGGCACTTGGATCTCGAAGGAGGTGCTAATTTAGCCTTTGCCTGAGGCTACCCAGCAGGAGCTATGGAGAGCTCTGCAGATTCCTCTTCTTTATTTGGGATTTGGAGGTGCCCAGATGAGGCCCAGCTGTGAAGCAATGCAAGCTGCTGTGGGGCCTTGGGCCTTCTTTTGGATGTCTGGGTCTCTCTGACCCAGCTGCAGTTTGTTAGGTAATTTTAGATTGCAGAGGGCCAAGCCATTCATATGCAAAAGCCTCTGCGCACAGCTTGGGTGGGGCGGGGTCTCAGGGAATCAACAGGGCGGAGCAAACAGCTGTGGCTGATCCTCAGCCCTGCCCTAAGAGGTCCCGGGTCTCAGTGTCCCACGGTAATCGCTGCAAGCACCTCTGAGAGAAAGCCGCCCTTAAGTTTCTCCCCGTATGAGTCTGGGTCCCCAGAGACTGCCCGGAACTGGAGTTCAGAGCCGTCGGGAGCTTGTATCTCCCTCCCGATTGAAAAAGACAGCCGTGTCCTCAGTTGACAGCCCTTTCCGCGTGCGCCTCCATACCTCTGCACTTTACTTCCACTCCTCCTCTGAGTCTCAGTGTGCTTTTCTCTTTCCTTCTAGTTGTAGAATTTCCACTCAGCCAGCCTTCCTGTGGTTCTGGATGATGTCTGTTTTGTCTTTTAGTTGTAATTTTGAAGTGGTTGTGCGAGGCAGCAATTTCAGGTGTTTACCTATGCCGCCATCTTGGTTTCCCCCCCTACTTTCTCTTTTAACAGCATTTTTTACAGCATTCTTCTTCTTGTTGCCACTTTTTATAACCTAGAAAGTCTCACTGTGTTCTCACTATTCCTAAAATAGTCCTAATATTTTAGACATTATTTTAAATGAATTTATAAAATAAATATTGTGATATAGTATCCATTTCACTATTTCCTTAGAAATGTGTATACTATATTCAAGTTAGCTAAAGATTTTTTAAAAGATCTTCCCATGTAAAAGGTTTTTCTTTAGGATTGCCTTATATAGGGTTTCCCCAAAAAATGTATACATACTTTAGCAGCTGATAGCTGTAGATTCTATTTCATTTTGAAAATGAAATGTATTTTAATAAACACTGCCTTTATAGTGTGTATACATTTTTTTGAGACACCCTGTATTTGGACATTCTCTCTCTCTCTCTCTCTCTTTTTCCCACCTAGGTTTAATACTATGCTCAGAAGACAGTTACATTAGTTTGTAAACAAAAATGGGTAAGAAAACTATTGTTTGTGACAGTGTGTAGGACACTCTTTCCTTCATAAAATAAACAAACACACACACACAAAAACAACAACAACAAAGAACTAGTTTACTAAGCTATGAGGAAAAAACTTTTAAAGGATTCTAATATTTAGTACATAGATACAATAATCTTCATTTTTAAGCAAGATACCTATTTTTAAAACTCTTAAAGCTGTTAAAACCACTTGAAATTCAACTCCTCTTAGGTCTACCAGGAAATAAAATATCAATGATCTGATAGACTATACAAAGGGGATAGGACGATACAAATTGAATGGTACATATGTCCTAGCATCCCAATTATCTCCAGCAGCAGCAGAGCAGGAAGAGGAGGAGCACCAATAATCTGACATATCTAACATTACAGGTAGGGGAGAGAGACAGATACTCCCAGCTAAAATAGCAAGTGACCAGGAAGCACAGGGAAGGAGTAACCCGCTAGGCCAAACTGTTTACACTTGGATGAGGTATACTGAGCCAAGAAAATGGAGACTGCTTTGGTGTTCCTCACAAATCTAAGCAGCTATGGTCCCCAAGGCCCATGATGCTGTGCTACCTCCCCCGTATCTCCTTTACCTCTTCAATATCTCACCAAACTAACATGTCCAAAACATTATCCTTCCCTAAGATTCTGCTTCTCCTTCTATTTAATTAAACTATGTTAATTAAACATCCATCCCCCAGCCTGACACCACTCTACCACCTTGCATCTAATGAATCGTAAAATCCTGTTCCATGGCCCTACAAATAGCTTTCAAACCCACATCATTTCTCTCCATTTCCACAACCTTCAACTTGATCCATTTCATGCCTTCAGCATTACTCCCCTCTAAACTAGTGTGAACATGGCAGCCAGAATAATTTTTTTCAGAAAGGCTAATAATGATCAGATCACTCCCCTGTTTAAAACCCTTCAATGGCTGTCCATTACATTTTGGAATAAGTCAAAATTCTTCAACATACCTTAGAAGGCTGTACATCATCAACTTTCTACATCTGCCACACTGAATTTCTTCTAGTTATTACAGTGACCAAACTCCAGGCCTTTGGGCACTTAGAACCCTCTTCTTCTCCCTCACTCATCCCCACCATACTATCTTCTCACCTACCTCTTATCTAATTCAACCACTTAAAAAATACTTTTTTAAAGCCATCCCTGACATCTACAGTAAATGAGCTCTAATATCTAATACGCTCCCTGCATTTGTCACACTTTATTTTCACGATTTATCATCTGTCTTTCCAGCTAGTATGAAGTTCAGTGACGCAACGACTATGTCCTTCTTGATAATCACTGCATCCCCAGAGCCTAGTATAGTAGCTGTTACATTGTAGAAAAAGAAAAATACAATTTCATATAAATGAATTAATATGATACAAACTCAGAGATGAGTACAAATTCACACATATATTATTTCTTAAGAAATAAATGTATATATAACACATGGGCTTGTTTCATATATTAGTGCTTAATGGAAATCATTTTTGGATTATTTTTGTCAAGAGTCACCTAAAGTACTTACCTTCATTTACTCTGCAAACTGAAACTCTCACAGTACTGTGAGCTGCCACCATGTCATGCAACATAATATATTGCTGAAATAAGAAAAATAAATTAAAAATAAAAACTAGCTAATATAAACCACTCTTCAATATATTAAAAAGGGTACTATAAAATAAAGTTAATAAAATAAATGCTTATAACTCTGCCCTTAAAAACGTCAAGACTAAAAGATTTAAAAAACTATACGATGTTTTAGCTAAAGACAAAATAAGAAGCACTAGATCCCTGAAAACACTAGAACCAGCCTATGATAAACAACGATAGACCCCTGCTATGGCCTCTAAGTAGTCAAGTAATAAACTGACTCTAAAAAACATTTGCCTTCCCTACCTCAAAAAAAGGGACATATTCATAACTAAAAGAAAATCTGTATTGAGTATTACTTTGTATCAAGCACTATTCTATGCACCTTACAAAATATAAATACAGTTGTGAAATCAATAATAAATTGAACTTACCTTTTTAATGGAATATAGAGAACTTAGAATTGATACTACAGACATAATCACAATAGCTAAAGCATAGTAATAGTATTCATCAGTGCACCACAGTATAACACTGAACAGCTGGAAAATGTAAAATGGGTTGAGAACCTAAAAAAAAACACAAGATTTTAAGTCAAAGTGAATAAAATGCTTATAACCATACAGATTTTCCATCTTTTTATTTAAGAAGCAACCAACAAGATACTATAGGATACTAGGTGTACCAGTTAATAATGCATAGTTTTTTTCAATAGATGGTGTTACACATATGTTGATATGTATGCAATTTGATATGTATGCTATTTTGTTGTATTGACAGCAAGCTTCAAAACTTCGTATGTCAAATTTGCTGAAGGTGTTAACATCATAGATATTTTTACGCTTAAAAATGTCAAATTTCATGCCAAAAAAAGAGCATTTGCAGCAAGTTTTAATTCATTACTTTATTTTGAAGAAAAAGTTATCGTATACTTCGGGAAGCTTATGATGAACATGCTCCACCTCAAGATACTTGTGAACGCTGGTTTAAACGCTTTAAAAGTGATGATTTCGATGTGAAAGACAAAGAACATCCAGGTCAACTGAGAAAGTTTGAAGACCAACAATTACAAGCATTATTGGATGACCAGAGGCCCAGTGCACGAAATTCGTGCACTGGAAGGGTGTCCCTCAGTCCAGCCTGCACCCTCTCCAATCTGGGACCCCTCGGGGAATGTCCGACTGCCAGTTTAGTGGATTTATTCTGAGAATCCCACAGGGATCGGGCCTAAACTGGCAGTCGGACATCCCTCTCACAATCCGGGTCTGCTGGCTCCTAACCACTCACCTGCCTGCCTGCCTGACTGTCCCCTAACCACTCCCCAGCCAGCCTGATTGACACCTAACTGCTCCCCTGGTGGCCCGATTGCCCCCAACTGCCCTCTCCTGCCGGCCTTCTTCTGACAACCTGGGTGCGGCCATCTTGTGATGACACAAGGGCGTGAGGGTCAATTTGCATATTACCTCTTTATTATATAGGAAGATGCATGTCAAACTCAAAAACAACTTGCAGAAAGGTTAAATGTTGCTCAGCAAACAATTTCTGATCCTTTAAAAGCAATGGGAAAGATTTTAAAGGAAGGAAAATGGGTGCCACATCAACTGAACAAAAGACAAATGGAAAACCAAAAAGTCACCAGTAAAATGTTGCTTCAATGGCACCAAAGAAAGTCTTTTTTGCATCAGATTGTGACTGGTGATGAAAAGTGGATTTATTCTGAGAATCCCAAACACACAAAATCATGGGTTGAGCCAGGTCAACCATCAACACCGACTGCAAGGCCAAATCGCTTCGGAAAAAGACAATGCTCTGCGTTTGGTGGAATCAGAAAGGTGTGGTATATTATGAGCTTCTAAAACCAGGTGAAATTGTTAATACTGATTGCTACCAACAACAAATAATCAATTTGAACCACGCTTTAATTGTAAAACGACCAGAATGTTCCAGAAGACACGGCAAAGTAATTTTGCTTCATGATGACGCACCATCACACACTTCAAAACCAGTTAAAGACACGTTAAAAGGTCTTGCCTGGGAAGTATTAAACTACCCACCATATTCACCAGACCTTGCTCCTTCAGATTACAATTTGTTCCGATCAACTGCACACATACTTTCTGAGCAGCACTTCAAAACGTATAAAGAAGTGAAAAATTGGGTCACTGAATGGTTTGCCTCAAAACAAGAAAATTTCTATTGGGACGGTATCCACAAATTACCTGAAAAATGGGGGAAATGTGTAGCTAGCGATGGACATTACTTTGAATAAAGGACTTCTGATGTTTCTCTTGAAATTATCGTGTTTTCTTTGATTACAAAATCCACCATTACTAACCGGTACACCTAGTAAGCTCTATGGTACCCTTGGGCAACTAGTACTACCCCAATGTCGTAAAACTAAAGCTTCTGTACTTTTCAAGGCACTTCTCATATATAGTCCCATTTTACTTCCAAATTATAAAGACCCACAATTTAAATAATAAGAAGACATTCTTAGTTTTCTGTTTTCTAACTTTTATTTAGATAATCAGCATGAGATCATCAGAAAGGACTTGCTCCACTTTTATAAGTAAAGGAGCAGCAAAGAGAGAGATTTTCTGATGATCAAAGCTAGTTACCGATGGAACCATATTACAAACCAGGCTTTCTAATTCCTAATCATTATACTTTGGTATGTTCTAAAGCAGCCGTGGGCAAACTACAGCCCGCAGGCCGGATCCGGCCCGTTTGAAATGAATAAAACTAAAAAAAAGACCATACCCTTTTATGTAATGATGTTTACTTTGAATTTATATTAGTTCACACAAACACTCCATCCATGCTTTTGTTCTGGCCCTCCGGTCCAGTTTAAGAACCCATTGTGGCCCTCGAGTCAAAAAGTTTGCCCACCCCTGCTACGGTAACCATAGATTATCATTTATATTTTGCATGAACATCTGTATTTATTTGCCCACCCCTGTTCTAAAGCAACATCATATACTCACTCTCAGCAACTGATGAAAATCTTTTATTTCTACTAAAAGTATTCACTCAATATAGCTAACTTGATCTTAACCAGTATTATTACTACTACCATTTTACCTTTTTTTAAAGTGTCATTTTATTTTCTCTTTATTTTGGGATTAGTGTTCTACATTCTATTTTCATCTTTCCTTTAGCATCATTTTTCTCTACCTCAACTTTACCTTTATGCCAAAACTCTCTCCCTCACTTTCCCCTTTTGTTGTCCTGTTTCTCTTACCCTATTACTGCTTTAGATTTTCCCTATTCCTTCTTTTTACCCCCTGTTAAAATTTCACCCTACTTATATATCTAATTTCCAATCCCCTGCTCTAAATCCATATACACCTCTCTCTTATCTTTCTTCATTACCCCAATTTTTCATTCTCTCTGTCATTTTGTTGTTGTTTGCTTGATTGTTGAGTATATTGGGGGGTTTTTTTTATGCTTGTTTGTGAGACTGTTTTGCTTTTGCTTTTTCTTTTTCTGTTGGTTTTTTTTACCCCCCCGTTATTTTTTGGCTTCTGTTTTCCCTCGCCTCGCTTGATATTAGTTGTTATTTGTAGACTGCATTCATCTCCAGGGATCTGTTGCTAGAATTTGTTGGGTTTAGTGGCTGTTCTATTGGAATTTTCTCCCCATATAATAGTTTCTTCCCCTCTTCTATTTCCTTCCCTTTCTTTTCTCTCTTATTTTTTTTCCCTTTTCCCAATTTCATTTTTGCACTCCTTTTTTTTCTTTCTTTCTTTTTATCTTTTTTCTTTTTCTCTTCTTTCTTCCTTATCCCCTAATTCTCTTTGCACTGGTGGTCACCTTTATTCGGGGTTATTAGTATCATGAATACATTTGTGTTCAGTGCCTTGTGCGTTGTGCCTTGTTGCGTTGTATTTTGTGCCTTTAAATCAACGCAGCAGAGAGAGAACTACATAACCAAACACCTGGAGAAGAGAGATCATGGGGAGACAAAGAAACAGCCCTCATATGAAAGAAAAACAGGCATCACCAGAAAAGGAAGTAAACGAAATGGAGGCAATGGAGGCAAGCAACCTGTCAGAGAAAGAATTCAGAGAAATGGTCATAAGGGGGATGAAAAGAATGGAAGACAAATTCAACAATATGTGTAAGAACCAAGAGGAAATGAAGAAGAACCAAGAAGAAATGAAAAATCACATCACTGCTATAAAGAACTCAATAGAAAGCATCAACAGTAGACTAGAAGAAGCAGAGGACCGCATCAGTGAGCTAGAAGACAAGGTAGGAAAAAATACCCAAGCAGAGCAGCTTCTAGAAAAAAAATTAAAAAGCAAGAGGAGTTGCCGAAACCGGTTTGGCTTAGTGGATAGAGCGCCGGCCTGCGGACTGAAAGGTCCCAGGTTCGATTCCGGCCAAGGACATGTACCTGGGTTGCGGGCACATCCCCAGTGGGAGATGTGCAGGAGGCAGCTGATTGATGTTTCTCTCTCATCGATGTTTCTAACTCTCTATCTCTCTCCCTTCCTCTCTGTAAAAAAATCAATAAAATATATTTAAAAAAACAAACAAACAAAAAGCAAGAGGAGAGCCTAAGAGAACTTTGGGACAACACGAAACGAAACAACATCCGCATAATAGGAGTGCCAGAAGGAGAGGAAACTGAGCAAGAAATAGAAAACCTGTTTGTAAAAATAATGACAGAAAACTTCCCTGATATAGGCAAGAAAACAGTCACACAAATCCAAGAAGCTCACAGAGTCCCAAACACAATGAACCCCAAAAGACCGATGCCAAGGCACATTATAATTAAATTGGCAAACACCAACGACAAAGCAAGACTCTTAAAAGCAGCCAGAGAGAGACAGAAAGTTACCTACAAAGGATCCCCCATCAGACTAGCTACTGATTTCTCAACAGAAACACATCAGACAAGAAAGGAATGGAATGAAATATACAAAGTCATGCAAAGGAAGGGTCTGAATCCAAGAATACTGTACCCAGCAAAGCTATCAATCAAAATTGAGGGTGAAATCAGGAGCTTCACAGACAAAAAAGGACTACGGGAGTTTATTACCACCAAAACAGCAATGCAAGAAATGCTAAAGGGTCTGCTGTAAAAAGAAAAAATAGGAAACAAGGGACACAGGGGTAAAGAATAAAAATGGCAACAAACAAGTATCTATCAATAATAACTTTAAATGTAAATGGATTAAATGCCCCAATCAAAAGACATAGGGTAACTGAGTGGATAAGAAACCATGACCCATATATCTGCTGTCTACAGGAAACTCACCTCAAAAAAAAAAAAGACACACACAGACTGATGGTGAAGGGATGGACAAAGGTTTTTCAGGCGAATGGAAACGAAAAAAAAGCTGGGGTAGCAATACTTATATCTGACAAATTAGATTTCAAAGTAAAGGACATAAAAAGAGATAAGGAAGGCCACTTCATAATACTAAAGGGAGCAATCCAACAGGAAGAAATAACTCTGGTAAACATATGCGCACCAAATATAGGAGCATCCAAATACATAAGAAAACTTCTGGAGGAGATCAAGGGAGAGATTGACAGCAATACAATCATAGTAGGGAAC